GAAGAGTAAAGGTGATTGACAGGGAACATTCAGGAAAACTGGGAGGGGTTTATATAACAGACAACTGGGGCTAAACCATTACAATCAACAGGGGAAACAAGAACATACTAACAAGTTTTAACAAATTCTTAACAAAACTAAATAAACGAACTACAACAAGGAGCCAAGCATTTCTACCTGGATATCATCAGAGACTCAGAACACCATAGACTTTCTTCGCTGGATTTCCAGAGGAAAGGCTGTATCCATCTATACCATCACTGTACCTTCAGAAGAGAACTACACCCTTCTATGGGATAATTGCTTCAACAGAACCACACCTTCACTCCAGGAGGAGTGCAGCCACTATTTAATCAGGCTGCTACTAACACTCTGCCCACCAGGGTGTCAGGTTGTACTCTGACTCTGTCAGTTTCTTTTGTACTACTGCATTTTTATTTTAGTTTAATTAGTAAAGAACTGTTGTTCCTATTCCCGTATCTTTGTCTGAGACCACCTTGATTTCAATATTATAATAATTTGGAAGCAGGGGGGGAAGGGTGGTTTGCATTTTTCTTCCATTTCAAGGGAGGTTTCTGCCTTCCTTAGCAGACACCTGTCTTTTCCAACCAAGACAAAAGGTAAAGGGCTCACAGATATCTTCCGTGCTTTCAAACAGTAGGAAAAAAAACCCACTTAATTTACAACAGTTATTGCAGGGGAACAGAGGAGGGGAAAAAACAAACCTCTTTGAGGGACTGAAAGATGCTCAGCACTGGCACATAAGTGCCACATGAACAGGCACAGGCTGCCAAGAGAGGTGGTGGATGTCCCACTCATGGGAACATTGGAAATTCAATTTCCTCAGTCTGAAGGGTTAAGGCAGACCCTTGTGGGTTAGTCAAGGGAATTAAGTGACAAATATGGTTAAGAAGGCATATTCCTACCACTGACACCTGCAGTCAGTCACCCATAGGGTCCATGCTGGCTCCCCCATATATTATTGGGAAAAAACAGTGCAGCATCAGTTCAGAATGAAGCCAAAGTAGATTTATGTGTGTGCATATACATGCCTAGACACAGACAGAAAACCAAACATAATTATCAAGCACATGAATTTGAAATATAATTTTAAAATGATTGAGAAGAATTGTAGAATGTGCTTGTTAAATACCATTTGTGTTCAGTGAAATATTTGTTTCTATTAGATTTTGAATAAGCAGAATTATTATTTATTCCTTTTTTCTTTCCTCAGATAAGAAATTAATGGGCAAATATTCTTGTGCTGGTTTGAAAGCAAGCCAGAGGGAGATCCCAAGTCAGACCTACAATTTAACAGAAAAAAAAAAAAATGCAGTAGTACAAAAACACTGACAGAGTCAGAATACAACCTGACACCCTGTTGGTCAGGGTGTTGGTAGCAGTCTGATTAAATGGTGGCTGCAGTCCTTCTGGAGTGACAGGTGTGGTTCTGTTGAAGCAATGATCCTGTAGCAGGGTGTAATTCTCTTGTGAAGATCCAGTGGTGGTGTGGATGGGTACAGCCTTTCCTCTGGGAATCCAGTGCAGAAAAGCTCCCTGTGGTGTTCCAAACCCCAGATTATATCCAGGTAGGAATGCTTGGCTCCTCCCCCTGGGTGGAGCGTCTCCCAATGGGATGATGTCATTTTATCAGTCATGCAGTGAGACTCAATGGCCCATTAACAGAAGATATCCCCCTGGAGGGAGGATAAGTTGTGGAAGAGAGAAAGAACACTGCCCTACCTGGTTTTAACAGATGGTAATAGAATACATACTTTTGGTTACATCTTGCATTGCAACCCAAG